TCTGTGCTCAGATAGAGAGTCTAAGCATCCAAGAGACAAGGTCTGAGGACTCCCTTATGGTTTAGCTATGTATTTACTGGTATTAGGCACAGGGACACTTGGTCATTCTGGGCACATTGCCAAGACAAAAGAGGGGCAGATAGCAAACATGAGCACCGAATACAGCCACCCATACAGTCTGTTAGCTCTGACTATTTTGTCCTGCTCTAACAAGCTCTCCCCAAGACAAATGTGCTTAGAAAAGTAGCTAGCCCTAAGCGTTGTCGGAACAAGCCAAATGGAGACAGATATTTGGCCAGGAACCAGCCCTTGCTCAGCCCACAATTACTTTTCAGTACCAGCACAGCCTAGCTAGACAAGCACTGTACAAAGCTCCAGGACAGAGCCATAATTTTAGCATCTTCAGGAGGATTAGAGCCAGGACTGCCTGGTCTTTGTCTTGGCTTAGTTTAGATGCAAGTTAATTTGATGACAGGAGACATGTACTTTAGGATTAACTGTATCATATGCTCAGTATCTTTCTGTAGACTGTCCTGGAAGTTTGTCTGTGTAAATTTTCTTCAATGTCTGCACTGCTGCCATCTTCACTGAAACCCTAAGCAGGGCACAGAAGAGCTGGATGTGGCTATATTAGCTACTCATCACACAGGCTAAGCCAATGTTCCTCTGTATCTCTGAAACAACATCAGACAAAGTGTGCATATCCTCCATAAACCTGTTGCCAGGGGTGTTCACTACAGGCATTTCATTATGCAAAGCTTCGTATTTATATTAAGTGGGTGCAATCTGAACAAGTATCCAAGAGAAAGTCTGAGCTTACTGTACAAGAGAAGAACTATGAAGCAGACAAGAGCTAAAAATAAGAGTCTTACTGATACTTAATTGTCTGATGCAATGGGAAAATACATACATCCACTATAACCAGCAGAGGACCTAACAAAGTTCCTAAGACAGCTTGACAGGGTTCTAGAACACCTGAGTGGTGGGGGATAGGTCTGTACCTCCTCCAGTTCACATCTGCCTTAGCAGAGTCTGCACAGCTCTTCAGTATACAAAGATGATCTTGCTCTGGGGCAGCAAATGCTGAGGAAAAACAGCAAGACAAAAAGCTTAATTCCAGGAAGCAATCGCTGCTGCTGCTGGCTTGTTTCTCATCCTTAAGAGCAACCCCACAAGCTGCTTCAAGGTCACTTGCTAAAATAAGTACCAACCTCAGCAATCAAAGCTAATTCTAGTCATTTTTAGAACTGATAACAAGCAGGTATATACACAGACTAATCACACAGCCAGATTTCCCAGCAAGGCAGATACCCTTCAGTCATGAATTAACAGCTTAACTGTCCTGTTCACAGTTAAATCACTCTAATTTTCCAGTTACCCCTCAGACATCCTTAACTCATTGCAGAGAAGAGAAAAACAAAGACAAACCCTAGTTTTTAAATCTGCACCTTCCCATACAGTATTATTTTGAGTTCCACTTGTCCATTTTAACCTTAAGGGAACAACAGACCCACAATGCATCCCCAGCTATAAAGAACAGCTTTCTCAGGACACCTGAGGCAGCTACAATATTTATTGTTAGAAGTTATTGGCTAAAAAAAATTAATGACAACACAGGAGGAACAGCATCATGCAACCACAACACATTTGGGTCTTCTGACAGTCACACCATGATAGTATGAAAATCGCTAGAATAAGATTAGAGAGCTTTTTTGTTTGTTTCTAACACCAGTGTTAAGAGCCCTTGAATTGAATATCATGGATCAAAGCTGAAGTCCTCAACACTTCTCACTACCAACCCAGTCTACTTAGAGTATTGAATGATCACCCAAAGCTCAAAAGAAGTCTTATTTGTGGCCATGGTCTACAAGCCACTAAGTGGGATGATCAAGAATTGAGACTGCCTCTGTTTAGTCTTTAATCTTGATTGTCCTTTATTTCTTTTGCAGGCTGTCTTCAAGATGTCTGGGTCTGTTTGTTTCAAACATCACACAAGGTTGTGAGCTTTACAGGTCTTAGTTTTTCAGTATAGCAGAGGCACTGCATCAATGAAAACCTGAAGCTTCCTTCTGGGTTGCTTTCATCTCCCTCCTTATCAATCCATATTCCTGTATACTTGATTATTCTCAGTACAACTTAAGTACTCTTAAGTGGTTTTTGCATCTGCCTTTAAGCACTTCATCTCATTGAAACAGCATTATTTCACCTTCATTACCACAATATGCCCAACTGAAGCATCTCTTATACCTTGATCTTAAGTATCAGCTGCAGAGGGGAAACAACATGAGGGGTAGGCCAGAGTTAAGTCTGATGACTCACACAGAATGAGAAAGGAGAGAGCACCCCATTTCACATTGGAAAAGTCAATGCTCACTCATACAAGAGCAATAAGATTTTTCCTTGCTCTGAGTAAGACAAATACAACAAAAGGAAGAATAGAGCAGAAACATTGAAAACACCATTATTACCTGCAGATCTCACATGAGACCACTTCAAGATCAGCTTCTTCTGTCTCACAAATTAAAATTTATGCCATCTTCCCCAAACTTGTTACTAGCATTCACACTGCAGCATTATGCAATTCTCCACCTTAACTACTTAGCTTTTTTTCATTTTCCCTTTTTAGCCTTTGGACTGAAAGAATATTTAAGCCACCAGTTCAGTTGCTAAATAATAATAAAACAAACAAGAAAGCAGACAGAGCACACTCTTCTCCAGATATTATAGTTTAAAAAAAATCAGGCAAGTTTGTCTACCAGAGAATTAAAGCTTCAAGGAAGCTATATGAAACTATCGTATCTGTCTTGCTGCAAAGTAAACTCTAAAAAAAGTAAAACAGAAAAAGTAAAACAGTCTTCCTTCTTCCAGGGAAGACACCACATGGTAAAACATTTAGTAAATTTAGACCTGGATACCTCCTACTGTGTTAGATGCACCAAAGCTGTTGGCCCAGAAACATTAGACATGATTGTTGCCATGGACCGTTTGTAAGATCAAAACTCATCTCTCCCTCATTACTATTGTGACATGACCATAGGAATACCTTCAAACTGCTGTAACACTAGGAAAACAGTTCTGCATTTGAGACATCCATTACTGATTCCAAAATACTCAACACTACAGTAACTGCAGTTCAGTAAGCACTATTACTTATGAGCAGCTTAAGGCTTATTAACAGGGGGTTTCAGGACACCTTATGTTCAGCCTGAAACACCATCAACAAGCTGGAACTCATAAGCCTGATAGACTTCGCAAGACTCCTGCTCAGTATACTCACCATTTCCCTGTGAAACAGACAACCTCATTGTAACTAGGCACCATTGGCTCTGATTTTTGTACTGAGCCACCTACTTTAAAGGACTTGGCTACAGGCATGAGTGAAATTCACAGCCCACCTTTAAGACATCCATCTTCAAGCCATGCAATTCATTGCATAGAAACAATCCATGGATCTAGGCCCCCACCACAAAGTGGATACCACAGACACAAGCATGGGATATCTGGTCACATCTATCATTATCAGTACATACCAAGACAGATTCATTTACTTGACTACAAAGTGTTTGAAGCAAGAGACCAAGAACTGCATAGCCTAGACTCAAAATGAATGCTTTGCTCCCTCAAAGGATACTATCTTTAAGACAAATGAATCAGTCATTACCACTACCTCCATTTTGGAGGAATACAAGGGTTTGTGTTACAAGGAGGATCCACCAGCCTGGAAAGGGAGGAGGCAGGGGGAACAAAGTCTTACACACAGGTGAAGCAAAACCCCTGAAGATAAGAGCCTCATTACACTGGTACAATCAGGTTTTAAAATTAAAGCAACAGGCTTGTTAGTTGGTACTTAGTATGTCTGCTGAATTGCCTGTTAATGTCAAGTGTTACACATATTCTTGCTTGGAAACACATAATACCCTGTACAGATTACTCTTAGAAAGCAGTAAGCACTGAGGATTTTAAACTCTTACCGTAAAATAATGCCTCAGACTTACCTTGCCATTTAGATGAGCTGAACATAGTTTTCCACATGATGTTCCCTACAAGATGAACAACTGCTTTGTTTGTTGTTTTTTTTTTTGTTTAACTACTTTGTACAGGGGTTGTGTTTAAGAGTACTCAAAGTACTGTTTCGCTTGGTTGTTTGGGTTTGTTTTTTTAAAAACACTACCTAACAAATAACTCAGGGGCACAAGACAGTGTAGCAGCTCAGGTTAAGACAGTTAATAGTTAGTCCTGTCCCATCACCCCCCTCTCTCCTGCTAAGAGTGAGGTTTCTCTAGAAACTGCAGAACACACATGTTCAGCAGTAGCAGGAGAGGTCATGTCAGACAGCTATGCCATAATACTCAATACCACAAGTATGACACAGCAGCCATCTCCCTCAATGCTACAGTTCCAGTACCTCACAGCTTTTAGCAGTTCTCTGTACTGCAGTCTGGTCAGCAGTGTTTGACGTGTTCCTAAAGCTTTGCCAGCCACAATTGCCCCTTCCTCCAGCTCCCTGCAGAGGAATCGCCCTTACTCATCTCCATAAAGGGAAGTTTGACTTTTACCTCAACATTAATGGTCTTCTACACACAAGTTCACAGTTCATACACCACATGCATCTGGATGTTTTCACTGTGATATGGTAAACAAGCGGCAGAAAACAGGTTTATTCATGACCACGTGATCTTGTCTCACAGAAGAGGAAGAAACAAAATATTGCAGCAAAACACTTGTATATATGGAGGTATTGTGCTGTCTTGTTTCAAGCCACACTTAAACCGCTCCAGATAGCTTAAAAGCCCTGCTCGCAATGATTTTGTTAAAAAAAACCAAAAAACCCACAACCCATTCCACCCACTGTTACTGCAGATATTAACTAGAGTCAGAAGATTCAGAGGAACAGTGTAATAAGACATTTATTAAAAGTGCTGTCAATCATATTAAGAGCTATAGTTTAATATCCTTTTTAAAAACAGCATCTGATTAAAAAAATACTAGCTAAAACCCATTCTGATCACTATGGTTAGACACATGACCTGCAGCGCTCCATGAAATGTTAGACCAGCTTTGCTGACTGGGACAAAAAACTTCAAGTCCAGGATCCACAGCCTCTATTGTAGAGGAAGAACTGCTGGGGGCTCCAGAAGAGACACCTGCAGGTACCTGGAATAGAAATGCAGTCACTGAAGATATTAGTTTAGCTGAAAATTTAAAGGTATCACCTTCTTGTGCAATACACCGAGGAAGAAAAGAATCATCCCGCAACACTGCAGAAGAACTGTTACCTAGTACATCTGTATACCTATGGGAGAGCTACTCTTCTGGTCAGAAAAGTTTTCACCTCAAGAGGCTGACAGAGGCTTCCATTTCAGGAATAAAAGCTGACCACTATGAGAAGTCTGTCAGCTATGGCAGCTACAGCCCAAGTTGCTACATCAGAGATATCCTGTGCTTACAGCCTCCAAGTTACAGAACACTGGCTTCCTGGTTACTTACTTTGTGCGCTTGTACTTCTCCCTAATTGCTTGCAGTTGGCCATGTGGAGCATCAAGGCATGCTTTGTGCAGATCAGTCAGGCAAGGCACTATCTCACTCAATGAATATCCAGTGAATGCAGCAAGTGCTTCTGGCTGGTGAGAGGAGAAAAGCCAGTGTTACTGTATTGTAGGCAACCCTCATCTAGAAGACATTTTCTACAGAAGCAGAAACCATTTTTACTACATCAGTGCTCACTCTAGATTCTTTAGTCTTGAAAAGGATCTAAAGTGTACCCTGCCACCAATTTCACTGCAGGCCTTCCTTAGTGCCAAATATCTGACAAGAAGCTCCTTCTGCTCTAAGCCTGTGGCATCCATTACATCTCTTCAGGATCCTGCTCTCTGCTAAAGCTACTCCAACACACATCTGAGAGGCCTAACAAGGATTGCATTAAAGCAGCCACTCAGGGTAATCTCTCCACTCAAGCGGACACATTCAGCTCTTCCCTCCCTCCCAGAAAGCCCTTGAATTGTATTTGGTGGAGGAGTCTTGGAGATTAAAGACTGAAAATGCCTTAGGTACAGACTTGATGGAAGCAAGCAAGACAGCAAGGTCCCTCCCATTTTAGAGAAGCAGGCTATTTCAGGTTGATTTTAATATTAATTTATCAGGCAGTCCCACTATCTCAGAAACAGATATTCACCCTAAGATTTCAGCCTCTATAACAACATAATTTGAAGTTACTCCTTCTGCTTCTCAGCCTAGTTCTAATGATAACATAAAATTCTTAAGCTACTCATTAACATGCAGCTGTTGTTCTTACCCAGAAAGACTTGTTCACTGTATAGTTTGCTAGACAGTAGGCTGCTGCAGCAGTTTGTGAAGGAAGGTACTTCAGAAAAGGATCAGCTTCAAGGAGACTGAGCTCTGCAAGATACTGAACAAAAACCCCACAAGCCTTTCAAACAGAATGAGCCTAGCTGGTACAGTTAGTCCAATACAACAAGCATCAAAAATTGTCAATCTTCTGTTTCATGTAAAAACATGAGTTACATGGCTGGTGGGTAGAAACAGCATTTTAGTCCTGCTGATCTTACAGGAGAACCTTTAGCATGTTTCAGTGGGGACAGAAAGACCACGCTTTGTCAAAGCCTAAACAATCTACACTCTAATCTAAAGTTCTGTTCCCATCATCAGCTCAGATGTAATTTTACAGATAGAGACTTAAAAACTCAAAAGACACACTCTTCCCATCATCTCAGTCTCTTGTTCACATAGGTGGACCTCACTTGGAGATCAGGTATAAATAGACAGCTCTAAGAAACAGAATTTGGGCTCCGATAGAGGAGATTCACTGTATGATCCCATACCCTTTGCAGACAAGCAGCACATAATATATTTTGCTATAAGTTTAGGCTACCCAGTTTCTAAGCAGCATTACCTATGCCCCTATGGAGGCACATACTGTATCACTGTGTAGCAATATGTAGTACCACCACAACCAGGGCAGACTTGCTATGCAGGTACTGTTGAAAAAAACAGATTCCTAACACCTAGCTGCCTGCTCAGTGCATTATCCCTGACTAGACAGATAGGCCAAACTTAGGATTTCCATGAGCCATTTATCCAGAAGTTTCAGCCCACAAGCCACCTACCGAAGGTAGCAGGCTACAAAACATGCAGTTTTAGGCCTGTTACAGTCCCAGATAAAACTTGCAGTGAGAAAAATAGTTATCTTCTGATATACTTTAGTAGCAGAACCTCTTGGCTCAGATAACAAAATACAAGTGGTTCTACTTAGGATCACTTCTCCCTGCTCAGTCCAAAAAGGAGGATAAATCATACCCTTGCAAAGTTCTCTGTCCTCATACAGACTCCATGCCTCTGAATATACTGAAGGAGGAACTGGTTGATGGTTGGGGCTGTTAGGTCAAAAGCCAACACTTTGAGAAGCAGGTGTTCCATTCTTAGCAGCTGCCTCTTTGTGTAGGTATCATCTGTTATATACACAAATTCATCCACTTCTGGCGGGTAGATCTCTTCATATTTCCTGAAAAAGGAACACAGAAGCTGCGTTTGTCAGCTTGAAAGTTATGGTAAAGGAAAGCTTTCTGCTGGACATATATCAGAATGAGCACATGACATTACTAAGATTTGTGTAGAGCTCTTATTTTAGTCCTTCCTCCAGGCTAGGTAACAATTTAGGTTCAGATTTGGACAAAGATGTTTAGAGTCAAGTCATCAGTCTAGACAGAAATACACTCAATTTGTTAGCTCTTGACTCATAGCAAGTTCTCCAAGAAAGTCTCAGTAATACAATGCGCTCCAGACAAAACCCCCTACATTCATTGGCTATGCTGGGTACCCTGTCTAATTAAAGCAGTTCAAGGCTAATTGCAGATTGCAACTGTAAATCTACTACAGGCTTATAGGCTAGCAGCCTAACACAGTGGTTTTGCTCCCGCTGCTATGGTGACAAGGTTTTCCCACTACAGCTCCTCACATCACAAACATTAAATACTTAATTTTGCTAGTGCCAAAGCAGGCAAAGTTGATAATATTGAGGTATCATTAAAAGCTACCTACCACTGCTAGCTTTAGTCCTTCAAGTTAAACTAAAAGACTCAGCCCAAAAATAAGTTTTAGCTCACTGAGATTTCAGGAGATAGTAAACACTTACGCAGCCAGAAGAATTGCTGCTGTTCCTACAAGCTGCAGCTTCCCCCTGAGAACGGACATGCAGGAAAGAAACCTGTCCAGGAAGTTCACTGCCAAGTACAAAGTCTCTGTCCGAAGTTTATATTCTTCCCCTACTTCCACCAGCCAGTCTACCAAGATGGCACGCATTCTTGTTGTGATATCTGGCTGCTTCCTCATGTAGTAGGGCTTGGGCCTGAACCTGACCTGTTTGGGGAGAGAGTTGAATAATCAGGATGCTCACCCCAAAGGGAGCCATTGATGGCTGAGCTGATCAACATTCTTTATACTTATACCAAACAGAGCATGAGTTGTTCCACTACTAATAGCTCATTACTACTAACTATATAGTGCTAGTAGTATTAATTAGCAGCTAGTAGCATCTCTAGAAATTAGTATTTCTACACTGAAGAGACAGGCAGTACAGCATTAGTAGCAGCATAGTAAAAGACCTCCTGGAATATGGACAGTCTTGGCCATCAGGAACATACAAGCCATTCAGAGAGACCCAAAAACTACTCTGAACAATTTTTCCTCTTCCTATTGGGAGACTGCACTTTAGTACTCTGATACAGAAAGGTAAGAAAAACTACTACTATAGCAAAAGATCGGTCAGTGAGATCACATCTAACTTCCTTAGTATTTTTGCAGCATTTAACTCCCATCTGCAATAATTCTTCATCCCAAAGAGTCAAGAGATGCTCCAATGGCAGGCAATTTCAGGGACACAGAGCAACCTGACAGTGATGAGATCTTTTTAGATGCTGCCTTCAGAGATGGCATTTACTGCTTGCTTTCTCTCCTTTGTCATGCAGTGGCAGCCCCAGGTTATCCTGGGGCAGCCATACATCTTTCCAGTATTGCAGCCCATCAAAGACCACAAATATCTATAAGCTGGTTACAAGCCACTCACTTCAGCCTCTCGGAGGTACTGATGAATGTCTTCTGCATACTCTCCCACAGTCAGAGTTATGACATCTTCCATGTGATCCTCAGGCTGGGACTGGAAGGATGTGTCCACTACCATAGGAGATCCTAACAGGTAAGAGGAAGCAGCAAGACATTTCTCTTCACTTTCTAGCACAGAACTGTTGTGCCTCATGTAGACACAATCCAATTTATCTTGAAGTGTTATTTATTGTAACATAAGCTACTCACTAGCTTACTAGCATCACTGCTCATAACCACCCTACATGTCCTTGTGCTATAGATACCATCTGAGCAGGAACAGGAGTTACCTGTACTCAGATCCAGCAGCAGGTGAATACTGGATGTCATTGCACTAGTATCCAGTTCACACAGGCTTGGCTCCAGCTCTTCAGCCACTGGGCAGTTGTAGTTTTCTTTCTGTTCTGCTTCATCTATGTAGATAGAGAACCCCTGCTTTGAGGCAGCACTCGCCATGCGGTTGGGTAATTCATCTTTTCCAAATGAAGGGACGGTGTTTTCAGAGCCAGAGAAGCATCTGGTAACAGTAGCACCCTGAAACAGAGCACACAGTAACGCTGTGGGACGGTAACTCGGGAAGAAAACAACAGTAAGTATCACTTATTTTAGAAAGCAAAATCCCTTTCCTTGCCTAACAGACAAATACCACAAAAATTCACTGGAGAAACCACCAGCTACAGCTGGTGTGTCAAAAGTACTTGCTGTCTTGCTGCAACAGGTGCAGTGAAAAGTCAGAAACCAGGAGAGCAGCCTCATCTCCAGTACCCACGGCCACGGGGAGGGAGGTGAGGGTGCTGCTTGGTTCTGACAGGGCTGGCAAATACAGGGTCTGCTCCACTTTCAGTTCCGGCAAGGAACAGATGCTTTAATGTGCAGCAAGTTACAGTAACAAAAGGAAGCACTCAGGGACTGTCACAGACTTATGAAGGACTTCACCTGCAAGAAGGCATTTTATGCTGAGTTAAAAACCAAAGTTTAAACTTTTGAGATCAAGCATCACAGTCCCTAGGACCATAACATGGGATGAGGACAGAATCCTTCCCATCATCTGCTATCAGTGAGCCATCAACTGAGTCATAGGCTTTACAGTCACAACCGAGAAAAGTTTGTGTACACATAAACAGCTTCTATTTTAGGTCTGATAAGTCAATACAATAATGTTTTCCCTGCCACACCAGCAAACTCCAGGAGAGCCCAAGGAACAGAAATGCAGACAGACACCTTGCTGTGAACTTTTAGCTTCTTAAAGCCTCCCTGAAGGGGTGATGGCCAGCCACACGGCAATGGGACCTCTGGGCAAGCATCAGTGAATACACCTCTCTTAAACCGCCCCCTTCAAAGGGTAGAGTGCCCAAATAAAAGTTTCACCGAATCCCCAGAAGGGATTATTTATTCAAAGCATTTGCACAGGGGAGTGTCGGTAGATTAAGAGCGAACGGTTACTAGCAGGGTATCTCGGGAAACTCACGCTCAT